CCCCCCCATTGTATATTAACACAATAGCTCTTTTCTATAATAGACACTGTAGCTGTGATTAGTAAATGGCAAAGCAGAGGGAGGGGAATGAGGGACAATACTGAAACTGGTATCTGTCATAGACACCGTTCTGATGCGGTGGGGAACCTGTAGAATGGCTCCCAATGTACTTTCCGGGAGAAGCTGAATGGAGCTCACAAACAGCTATAAAAGAAAGAAAACGTTTACTGAATCTAGTTAAACAGCTTTTTTAGAAAAGGGTTTACAAACTGTGAAAATCAAGATGTCCAGAGTTAGGCTTTAATATATACAAGGATAATGTGCAACTTTGCAAATATTATCTTTTTACCTCCCAGATGCACTGCACTTATGTAATCACTGAGATCACAAATTACTAGAAGCTGGCAGACTCTGCACTAGCTTAGCTTAGCATCTGACCAAGAATGAGAAGTAAAGGGCATCAGAAATCCCTTTATATGTGTAGATTGTCTATACTGCACATGTTTTATATTCTTATTTAGCTGGGAAGCTCAAGTCCACGTTTCACATTTAAAGCTGGCCATACACTATGTTTTTTTAAGTTGCATCATCGACGCTAAACAGTCAGTGGGTGTGCCGCTGTCAGCAAATGAGAGCCATGGCTGCAGCCAATTGACTGCAGTCACTGTTTATATACAAATTCTTTGGTGCAGCTCCTTCCACAAAAGTTGATCAAAGCTAGCATGATAATGCTAATAGAAGCATTTACAGGACACAATAAGTAATTAAAGCAGTAACTAACCACTCTGCATCCTGATGAGATTTGTTTGGTCCCTGGCTTTCTGGAAAAGAAAGGGAGCCCAGAGACCGTAAGAGAAGGGTGTGTGGGAGGGGAACACTACCAGGGTCTGTAGAAGTAACTGGATGGCTTCAAGGCCACAAGTAAGGTACGGGGCAGAGCCAGCTGTAAATTGTAAAAAGCTTAGTATTGCTATTGCTTGTTTACACCTCTCACTGCACTAACATAGAAGATAAGGTGGTGGCAGTACAAGGGTTAAAGTGAATGCGCCGCAGTTTTGTAAATAGTTTGATTGTCAGGACTAAAAGAATTACATTTTTATTCATGATTTTTTACTTAGTGACATTAAACCCTCAGATTTTTTAACATAAAACAATACAGTAATGTGTGCCTTACTGTAATCCATGGTTGTTTCCCTTCTCTTTGCTGCTCTTCCTTTTAAATCCTCATGTCTTCTCATGCTGGGCAGAACTTCTGTTTTGCAGCAGACTGCCTTGTCTCTGAAATGGATACATGGTGTCTGTGTGTAGGTTCACAACCTGAGCCAGCACTACAGGAAGAGGCACTCAGCTGCAAAGGGAAGTTCTCCCTCAGCATGAGAACACATGAGGATTTAAAAGGAAGAGCAGCAAAGAGAAGGGAAACAACCATGGATTACAGTAAGGTACACATTACAGTATTGGTTTATGTTAAAAAAATCTGAGGGATGAATGTCACTTTAAGTAAATAAGAAGCATTATGAAATTCTGTATTATGCTTTTCAGCTAGCAGGTGGAGCTTGAGGTTCCTTTTCACACGTTTTTCTGCCTTTCTATACTAGAACTCGAATATAACCCGTACAGAGCTCAGTAGCTCAAGCTGAAATGCGTACACACACAACTGCAACAAGTCAGAGCAGTGTTTTCTCCCCTTCTCTCTCGCTCTCTCTCTGTCTCAACGCCTAGGGTATCAGTGGGAGACAATTTGTTTCCCTATAGTGCTCTGAAAATTATTTTTAATGCATTAAAATTGACCCCTAAACCATTACATCTTCTCTTTAATTCATACCTTTTCTGTGTCTGATTCATAGGTGATAGCAGAAACTCCATCATCATGGAACTAGAAAAAAAGAAAACACGTTGTGGGCTTTCCTTTCTGAGCATTCGGTCTCTATTATAATTCTTTCAAACAAAAATATAAGTGACCACATCAAAGTCTTTTATTCATGGAAAATGATAATACTTGACAGGTCAAGCCAAAGTAAACACATGATGTCATTGAACGGGCAAGCAGCAATTGTATTCACTACATTTTAAAGGATTATGTGATAATATGACTGTGATTCATCACATTGTATATACAAAGACAATAATGTCCTATAATCCTTGAGTAAAGGAGCAAGATGTCCTTGTAAACTGCCATGGTGGGTAGAGAACACAATTCTCACTGGCATGTTGCGACACTTTAAAGGGAACCTGACATACAGAAAATTAAATGAGCGCTATCTGAAAGTTCCTATTACTAGGCTTCCCCTGGCTTTATTATTTACTGAGTAACAGACCTAGAAAAAAAAAATGCATTAAGAGAAGCAATGAGCACGACCTGTACAATTGTTCTGGGTATAAGGTTCAGAGTATATGAAAACTACAGGATTAATAGGATAGTGGACCAAATAGTGCTTTCAAGAAGAGCTCAGCAATGGCAGTCCCCTTACTTCTCTTAGGAATGGTTCATCTTAATGACAGTCTTGGATACCGGTCCTGCCATGTTCATACATGAGCTGCCCCATATAATACAGCAGTGTGGTTGCTGTCCAAACATTTTTGCTCATGACAATTTCTCTTTAAGAAAAACAATTAAAGCTGCGTTTTAATATTCAAATAAAAATGCAGCCCATGGAATCTACTAATGTTTCTACATGGAAGATCAGTATCAGAGACTCACGTTTCACATAGGTGTAACAGGTGAACAGTCCAAGAGTAACCCAGACCACAAAAAAAAAATCCACAATCTATCAGTGAACTTAAAATACAACCCAGGATGTGCTGCCTCCAGCAGTTATATGGCAATGCATTTGCATTGATGTGTATTGTTTGTTAGAACTAGTGTTTGAGATGCTGCCATCTTGTGGTTACAGACAGGCATTGGTTTGGGCTCCAAAAGATTATGTGCCTACGGGATTCATGAAGTAAATCAGCTTTGTCCATCTGCAAACAATATCAAGAGATTGTAAACCAACAGAGGTTCCATGCAGCTTACCGTATCTTCCAGCTCTTCAAACTCTGTTCCATTTTCACTGGATATCCAAGACATTGCTTGATGGAGTCCACCAGCAACTGGAAGTACAATTGCAATACCTCATCCAAATACTGAAAGCCTAAAATGATTACAAGATACTGGCATTATTAAAGTGTAATAGTTGTTTAAGGATACAAGCACATACATAAAGTTCTGAGAATGCTAACTGCACTGTCATGAAAGCTATTCGACTTCATAAACGAAATACGCCTTTTTAATAGGAATAGGAATACAGATCTGGAAAATCAGTTATTTCTTTGGTTCTTGGTTGATGCACCACAATGTGCTGCAGACTGATTTGAAGCCCTAAACGTATTTCTTAATTAGACCAAAAGGAAGAATCTATATTTTAGCTAGAAACTCAAAACATGTATGGTGTGACCTCATTGGGCATTCTAAACAACAACTTACACACGGAGGGTAAACTATGAAGATTATAACTTTTAAATAAACCTGTTGCACACTATGAACATTCGGTTAAAGGTGGCATTAGATAGGCTGAATATTACCCTGGCTTCTTGCATATCTTTAGAACGCCAGTGGTGAGATCACTATAGAGCCCTCCATTGGTCCTGGCCCTATTCCACCCAACTTAGAGCCTCATTCATCTTTCCAAAAGAGAAATGTTCCTGGGTGTCCACTCACCTCCTACTAAACCAGAAGTGTTCCTGGGTGTCCACACCCCTCCTTCTAAACCAGAAATGTTCCTGGGTACCCACTCACCTCCTACTAAACCAGAAGTGTTCCTGGGTGTCCACACCCCTCCTTCTAAACCAGAAGCGTTCCTGGGTACCCACTCACCTCCTACTAAACCAGAAGAGTTTGCGGATGCCCACACCCCTCCTACTAAACCAGAAGTGTTCCTGGGTGCCCACATGCCTCCTACTAAACCAGAAGTGCTCCTGGGTGTCCACATGCCTCCTACAAAACCAGAAGTGTTCCTGGGTGTCCACACCCCTCCTACTAAACCAGAAATGTTCCTGGGTGTCCACACTACTCCTTCTAAACCAGAAGTGTTCGCGGATGCCCACACCCCTCCTACTAAACCAGAAGTGTTCCTGGGTGCCCACTCACCTCCTACTAAACCAGAAGTGTCCCTGGGTATCCACACCCCTCCTACTAAACCAGATGTGTTCCTGGGTGCCCACTCACCTCCTACTAAACCAGACGTGTTCCTGGGTGTCCACATGCCTCCTACTAACCCAGAAGTGTTCCTGGGTGTCCACTCACCTCCTACTAAACCAGAAGTGTTTCTGGGTGTCCACACACCTCCTACTAAACCAGAACTTCGGTGTTCCTGGGTGTCCACACTCCTCCTACTAAACCAGAACTTCGATGTTCCTGGGTGTCCACACTCATCCTACTAAACCAGAAGTGCTCCTGGGTGTCCTCACGCCTCCTATTAAACCAGAAGTGCTCCTGGGTGTCTGCACCCCAAAAAGTCCAGTGGGGTCCCTTACTAAGTACTATGGCCAACGTGGAAATCAGAAAACTTAAGTAGAGTTTATACTATTGAAGTCTCTAACAGCCCCCCAAAAATGTGACTTAACTTCGCGGCATCTGCCAAATAAAATAACAGTTGTGGGTGGAATGACATTTTAAATTGTACTTGTAAAGTGAAAACTATGCATGCTACCTCTGCTGTCTTTTTGTTGTTGTTGTTTTTAAGGTGCAGCCTCCAGGGTTGTTATCTCCATCCTGTGGACTCTATGGTGGCCAACTTGGACCAAGCATATAGTCAATCAAAGCTGAAAAAACTCCCATCCTGCATGGTTGTTCCAATACACTGGCTCATTCAACTTTTACCGCCGGCGAGAGCCAGCCCTTCGGACTTCATTACGCTGAAGGGCTTCCAGATCATGTGATCATTGTGATTGGCTGTCATTTAATCAGGAGCGCATCCGACTGACTCCCAATCTTCACTGTGTGATCAGGAGCTGTCGGTGACAGCGTGGTTACTGTTCTGGGAAGGCGTGATTGAACACACTTCCAGCACAGAACATGTCGGCCATATGTATATGTGTTGCCACATAAATGTGTACGGCTGGCAAGTAGGGGTTAGGAGATAAAAAAAAGAGACCTGGAGAACCCTTGCAGCAATGAGTATTCCTAATACCTCTGCAATGTAAAGCATCACACATCATCAAATATCTAGGAGCATCATGTAAACTCATTATTTATATCCGACACTGCACATCTTGTCAGGTGGAAAACTACAAAACATGTGCTGCATTCTCCAGAGACTAAACCCTGAGGGAGAAGGTTTCTGCCATCTGTGTAGTTGGGTGTGGCAATCCTTCCTGTCACAAATATATATAGTATAGATTAGGGATGCACCGAAATTTCAGCCGAAAATGGTAGGATGGGCAAAATGCCGATAGTGCGAAAATGTGGTTCATCCCCAGCTTCTCTCCTCCCCGCTGGGCTCTGGCTGCAAGCTTAGGTCTGTGTCCCCTCCAATCCCCACTGCTCTCCCCTGCATGTGTCGGCAGAGGCAGCGGGGATCAGAGGGGACACAGAGCCGATCCTGCTGCCGCTGTCCAGCGGGGAGGAGAGACCTGTCAGGAGGCCAAGCAAGGCAGTAAGGGGCGGAGAGACTTGTCAGGAGGCCGATCAAGGCAGGGAGGGGAGGAGAGACCTGTCAGGAGGCCGAGCAAGGCAGTGAGGGGAGGAGAGACTTGTCAGGAGGCCGATCAAGGCAGGGAGGGGAGGAGAGACCTGTCAGGAGGCCGAGCAAGGCAGTGAGGGGAGGAGAGACAGTGAGGGGAGGAGAGACAGTGAGGGGAGGAGAGACCTGTCAGGAGGCCGAGCAAGGCAGTGAGGGGAGGAGAGACAGTGAGGGGAGGAGAGACAGTGAGGGGAGGAGAGACCTGTCAGGAGGCCAAGCAAGGCAGTGAGGGGAGGAGAGACCTGTCAGGAGGCCGAACAAGGCAGTGAGGGGAGGAGAGACCTGTCAGGAGGCCGAGCAAGGCAGTGAGGGGAGGAGAGAACTGTCAGGAGGCCGAGCAAGGCAGTGAGGGGAGGAGAGACCTGTCAGGAGGCCGAGCAAGGCAGTGAGGGGAGGAGAGACCTGTCAGAAGGCCGAACAGGGCAGTGAGGGGAGGAGAGACCTGTCAGGAGGCCGAGCAAGGCAGTGAGGGGAGGAGAGACCTGTCAGAAGGCCGAACAAGGCAGTGAGGGGAGGAGAGACCTGTCAGGAGGCCGAGCAAGGCAGTGAGGGGAGGAGAGACCTGTCAGGAGGCCGAGCAAGGCAGTGAGGGGAGGAGAGACCTGTCAGGAGGCCGAGCAAGGCAGTGAGGGGAGGAGAGACCTGTCAGGAGGCCGAGCAAGGCAGTGAGGGGAGGAGAGACCTGTCAGGAGGCCGAGCAAGGCAGTGAGGGGAGGAGAGACCTGTCAGGAGGCCGAGCAAGGCAGTGAGGGGAGGAGAGACCTGTCAGGAGGCCGAACAAGGCAGTGAGGGGAGGAGAGACCTGTCAGGAGTCCGAGCAAGGCAGTGAGGGGAGGAGAGACCTGTCAGGAGGCCGAGCAAGGCAGTGAGGGGAGGAGAGACCTGTCAGAAGGCCGAACAGGGCAGTGAGGGGAGGAGAGACCTGTCAGGAGGCCGAGCAAGGCAGGGAGGGGAGGAGAGACCCGTCAGGAGGCCGGGCGAGGCAGTGAGGGGAGGAGAGACCTGTCAGGAGACCGAGCGGGGCAGTGCGGGGAGGACAGACCTGTCAGGAGGCCGAGCAAGGCAGTGAGGGGAGGAGAGACCTGTCAGGAGGCCGAGCAAGGCAGTGAGGGGAAGAGAGACCTGTCAGGAGGCCGAGCGAGGCAGTGAGGGGAGGAGAGACCTGTCAGGAGGCTGGACAAGGCAGTGAGGGGAGGAGAGACCTGTCAGGAGGCCGAGCAAGGCAGTGAGGGGAGGAGAGACCTGTCAGGAGGCCGAACAAGGCAGTGAGGGGAGGAGAGACCTGTCAGGAGGCCGTGCAAGGCAGTGAGGGGAGGAGAGACCTGTCAGGAGGCAGAAAGTAATCACAGTGGATCACTGGCACACAAAAAAAGAAGTTCCGATATCAATATTTTATTGATGTGTTTATTTGTGAAATGTCACGTCATCAGATGCTAACGTTTCGTGACCCCGCGGGAACCCTTCATCAGAGCGACAAAGTTGAGCTCTGATGTAGGGTCCCTGCGAGATCCCGACACCCCACCATCTATCACCTGTCTACACCCCCCATGTACAATCAGAGGGTAATAACAGATGTACCGCCTCCCTGCACCCCACCATGTATCACATGTGTACACCCCCCCCATGTACAATCAGAGGGTAATAACATATGTACCCCTTCCCTGCACCCCACCATCTATCACCCGTGTACACCCCACATGTACAATCAGAGGGTAATAACAGATGTACCGCCTCCCTGCACCCCACCATGTATCACATGTGTACACCCCCCCCATGTACAATCAGAGGGTAATAACATATGTACCCCTTCCCTGCACCCCACCATCTATCACCCGTGTACACCCCACATGTACAATCAGAGGGTAATAACAGATGTACCACCTCCCTGTGCCCTACCATGTGTACACCACCCATGTACAAGCACAAGGTAATAATAGATGTACCACCTCGCTGCACCCCACGATCTATCACATGTCTACACCCCCTTCCCCCGTACAATTAAAGGGTGATAATAGATGTACCCCCTCACCTGCACCCCACCATCCAGCAGCCTACCAGTCTAAGGCTCCGGACTTGTCAGTGAGTCCTTAGCAACAGAAACCATGGTAAGAAGAAGCACATCCTTTGCAACCCGGAGACATTTCTCAGAGCACAATACCTTGAAGCACAAGCCGCCATACTTGATTTGGGATGAAAGGGCAAACTACAACAGTCATGTGACGCAAATCTTTCTCTCCCTATGGACAGACGAGGACGCGAGGCATGCCGGGAGATGTAGTTTACTAGACTCATCTAGTCCTTGTAGAAGCTAGAAGCCGCTGTGCGTTCCAAGACTCGCTCTGGGTCTTATCGGGCCTCGTTCTGGAATTTGTTGGTACTTGTTCTGGTTTCCTCTAGGCCTGGGAAGAAGAAGAGAGTTGAGAGGGTTCCCAGAGTACAACAAGCTGCCATTGTATGATCCGGAGTGAAGGTCAGTACTGTACACATCGGGGGATATCTGTATTCAGGATATTGGGGTGCAAAGATGGCTCCTTACTGTGCTCCACATGAACACCCCCTCAAGGAGGTGAATGTACTTTGTCTAAAGCAGCTGCACATGGCAACCAATTAGCTTCTAGCATTCATTTTCAAAGCTAAACTCCGCAAACTAAAGAGAGAAGCTGATTGGTTGCCATAAGCAACTGCTCCGGTTTTGATAAATCCACCCCTTTCTATTTGTTTTATATAGATGTATTGATTGCAAGCAGCAGATATATGCCCCAAGATTAAAAACAAAGTTGTCAAATAGGCAATACTTACCTGTGTCTGCACCGCTCGCTCCCTGCTGCAGACCACGTCTTCCTGATTGGCCGTGCAGGAGGAAGTGTGTGCGGGCGTATGCGCGGTCCATATCACTGGAGGAGAGACACAGTGAAAGTGAATGCACGCCGGACAGACTCCATAGGACACAGGAGTCCGCGCTGGATCAGAGACTGGCACCAGCGCTGGATCAGTGAACAGCACCAGCGCTGGAGAGACTCCTGAAAACTACCGTGATCGGATCAAGAGGCATCATTTAAGGTAAGTCCTTACAGCAGCATTGTGGGGGGTGGGGTGGGGGAATTGAGGGTTTAATGTCACTTCAACCACCTCCCGTCCATGGCCGTTCCTGAACGGCCAGACGGGAGTCTTCTAGGAGCGGGTGGGCGTCTTAAGACGTCCTGCCCCTCCCCCCGCTAGTGCGTGGCGCTCAGCGCGCACACAAGCGGGGAACTGTTACCAATGTAAACAGCCAGCGATGACTGTTTACATTCAAGCGATCTGTGCTTCATCAGCTTCTTTGGGGGGTCCCCAGGTGACATTAGGGGTCTTAGAGACTCCTAATGTCCCCATAAAGAGGAGCTGTCAGTGTGCCTGTGCTGTCACATAGGGGGATTATTATCCCCCTATGTGATAGCAATAACATAAAAAAAAAAAAGTTTATGTATATATAAATGTAAATACGTGTCGGGTGCGCGAAAGCGACAATTGCGGTACACATGTCACATATTGCCGCGAACGTCGGAGTGAGAGCAATAATTTTAAGGTCATCAATCACTGATAACACTAAACCGATGAGCAGTAAAAGCTTGTAAAGCGTCGCCGATGGCCAATTTTGGATGTTGACGTTTTTTAAGATTTCGCGGGCGCGCGCAATTTTAAGGCTTGGCATGTTTGGTGTCTATTTACCTGACGTGACCCCATCTTTTATATTTTAACAAAAAATTTGGAATTATTAAATGTTTTATAATTTAATATAGGGGAAACTGTTTTTTGGGGGTTTTTTTTCAAAATTTTCGGTAATTTTTCCTTACTATAGTAAAAAATAAAACCCCCAGTGGTGATTAAATACCACCAAAAGAAAGCTCTATCTGTCCCCAACAAATGGTAAAAAATAAATTTCAGTACAGCGTTGCATAACGGAATAAATGTCAGTCAAAGTACCGCAGCGCTGAATACTGAAAAATAGCCTGGATGGGACGGGTGTTTAACACCCCGGTCAGCAAGTGGTTAAAAAGTTTGAGTTTAGCTGAAGACTGACATATTTTATAAGGAATGGAGGGGTTGGAAGCACTGTGTTACAATGTCTAATACAAATACATGTTTCCTAGAGGATTGGTCATGGATGCAGAGTGTTCCCAGCTCCTCCCACATGTCTGTGGAATATTGGTTGACAGCAGACAGCTTGTGAAAGATGATTCAATCTATGAGAAACTGCTGGACTGGTTCAAGTCCTTGCTTAGTGTCGGTAAGTGCCATCCATTTTATAATGCTTAGGTATGTACTTGTGATGCTGTTTATTTCCCTCGCCCGCCCCGGGACTCATCAAATGAGCGCCCGGGGACTGTTAATAGAATGCACTGCAAGTGTTAATACGGCTTAAGTCCCATGTCCGTTCCGTGTTTAGTCGGAGACTCTTAATAGAATGCACGGTTAACCCCGCTCTAGTTTACCATTGCAATAAGGTGCCACCCCTGCCATCGACCACCCTTTGGTTCCGCACCTTTTACTTACATTTACCCTTGTAGTGGGGCCACCCCTGCATTGCAAGTGTTAACTGGCCATTTTGGCTTAGGGGTTCGATTTATAAGAAGATAGAACGGTCCCTGCCGGCCCTTTTTCCCTGGGCTCTGGTGGTCTAAGGATCCGTGACGTCATCACGTCTAATGCAACATGTCCATCCACCTGCATTAGACTTGAGGACAGCGAGGGACATTCCACAGCCGGAGTGGTAGAGAAGTGAGCACTGACTGCCACAGGACCAAGGATCAGGTGAGTATATCTTCTGTATTCCGGCCCCTAGACAAAAATGAGCAGTTAACCCTTGCAGTGCGGGGGTAGCTCCACTGCAAGGGTTCATTTTGTTAATTGCTGTAGTTCTTTTTTAAAGTAAATCATGCATAGAAACCCTTCACTCCTTGCCACTCTCTGACCATCAGAGATGTGAAATACTAAGGAAATGAGGGAACATGTGACTCCTTCCTCTTCATCCCTCAATGTAGCGCTGGGTGTCTCCATGGCTCATCTTGTAGCCCCGGCAATTGTCACACAGGAGCTAGGAGGGAGTTCGGCCCTGCGTAAGCTGCGATCAGATTGGGATCGGAGCTTACACAGCTTTTTGTCTTCGCTCCAGCGGGGACACGGGGTGGAGGTAGAGCGCAGGGAAGGTGGCCTAAGCAGCAAGGGGAAGGTGATTAGGGGAACTTGTTTCATTTACATTTATCTTGATTATGATTGACTTGGTCTGTTTGTGTTTTGTAGTTCCCCCAGAAAGGCTCCTGGCAGAGAATCAATGTCTTGTAGGACTTTTTCAGCAGGTGCTGAATATGGAAGAACCAGATCCAAGCCTCCTGGCTTTCTCTATGAGACTGGTGGGCATGTTTGCAGCGCAGGAAGGAGGATTTAAGTATCTGCAGGTTGGTACATTTATATTTGTCTGGCACAGATCTCAGTTTAATAAAGAGGAGCTCTGGGTGTTATTTAAAACATGGGCAGTGGTATGTACACCTAGCTTTGTTCTCTCCTTCCTTCACCTTTCAGCCTGTAGCATATTTACTGCATATATGTTTGATGTCCTTTCTTGCACTTCTTCATGGTTTTCCAGTCTGCCATGTTCTTCTGGCTCATCCACTATTGGAGTCGATAGTAAAAGGGGTAGGGCTGCAACCAACTAATCGATTATGAGAATAGTTGTCAACTGTTCTCATTATTGACTAGTTGCTTGGTGAGAGAGAGTTTTTTTGGGGGGTTTTAATACAACTAACCGAAAAAATAATCGGGCAACTAATCGATTATGAAAATAATCGTTAGCTGCAGCCCTAAAAAGGGGGTCGGGATCTAAAAGTGAACTGTGGCAGAGACAAATAATGTATTGAAATCTCATCATGGGGGATGCAAGAGAGTAGGGACATGAGTGATGAAGGTCAGCGGAATAGGTAAATAAATGGATGCAGAAGGAATTGAATGGGAACTTGTAGAGGGAGATGTGCAGGCCATAGATAAAGCTGGCCATACAGTGCTCAAATTTTAGCCAAGTGCTGCTGACTCAGCCATAATTTGAGCATTGTGTGGCCCTTTTGGTGCCCCTCTGATCGACAAAAGTCTATTTTTCAAATGACTTTTGTTGACAGAGCTGGTCTGAAAATTCTCAGCCTAATGGTGTCTGCAGCTAATCCACCGCAGACACTGTTCAGGTATTCAGACAACAACACACCTGTGGGGTAGAACATTAGTGTATAGCCAGCCTAAGGGCCCAAAGATCAAAGGAGCACAGCATGATTGTTTTGTGGAGGGAGAGAATCGAGAGATCCGATATGTTCAGCAGTAATTATAAATAAGCAGAGAGGAGAGCAGAAATGAGGGTTGGTGGTTGACTAGGGGGAAGGCAGTGGGAGCAGATCACTAACATCCCATATTGAAAGGTGATCTTAATCCACTTGTATGACGGTGGAGAGATGCAGTTTCCTGCACCAACGGGTACCACATACTGGCGGTCATGCCTGTTCCCTTGCATTTAGTACTTCTGAGTCACTGACCTGAAGCATGCATGCAGCCTGAAACGTTAGAGGGGTCCAAACTCGTTTTGTATACTTGTTCTGTGATACAATTATACAGGAAGTACAGAAGAAAAACAACTAGCATCTTCACAAGGAGAGGTCTTGGATGTCTGTGGCCTCTGTAGTTTCTGAGTTGTGGAACAAGCATGCCTTTAGTAAAGTGCTGGGGATTGTGTACCAGTAGTTTTCTGATTCATCCTTTTCATGTCTCACTACTTTCTCCCGTCCTCTGTGTATGTTGTGTATAACCTCTTCTTACTCTAATCACCCCTGTCAGGCCTATAATGTTGTACGGGATACATTTGGAGAATGCAGCTACAACAGTGTAACATGGAAGGATGCGTCTGTTAGGAGAGCTTGGATACAAGGACTGCTCTGCATGATACAGCACAACGAGGCTCTTACCTTTGTACAACAGTTGAGTGAGTATATTAAAATGTGTAAGTTCCTTCACTATCTGCTTGCTGATCATATCTTCAGTTGTAACTCTTAAAGTAGAACTATGGGGTTAGGGCTTTTCCCCATAGTTCTCCTAAGGGTCACGGGAGAACACAAACAGGCGTTCTCCCGTGACCCAAAGCTCAGTATACCGCGAGCTACAGCTCACGGTATACTGAGACGCCACAGCCGGGACGGATCCCGACAACACTTAACATGCTGTGAACTGGTGAAATAAAAACAATTGTGACTTTTATAATGTTTTCTATTATATGTCACTCAGTATGTCTTTGCTTTCTCCCTGCAGGGCTGATAGAGGAGATGTTAGGTCTACTGAGTGACTCCAGCCTGTTTGTTGCTTCTGCTGTGAATGACCTTGTAGCTCATGTGTTCGTTATGAGTGTGACTCTAGAAGGACAAGATAGCAGCAGATGTATATCTGGTTTGCCGGACGTGGGACAAACCATCTTCAGTCATCTAGAGAAACTCCTCACCTCTGGTGCTCTACAGTCAGTGACGCAGTCCCTGAAGGCTCTGACAGCCATGTTCAAAGGCTCCCAAGATTTACTGGCAGACATTGTTTGGTCAAGAATGTCAGAGCTGATAAACTCTTTGCTGCATCATAAACCTGTCCTTGGGTCACCCCATCTAGAGGGTCTGCTGCTTAGTGTAACCAGGTAATGACGTCTATATGTCACTTCTGAGCCTTTATTGACCTCTCGGTGCCTAAGCCAAATGTTGGTGATCAGCAGCCTGGTTCCTGATATGCCTACTGTTACCATGGCTGCTAGTAACCTCCTGGTCAGAAGACGCATGAAGGCGCAAATATAGTCTGTAGACAGGAGCTGGATTGGAATCCCGAAGAACAGCGTAGGGGAGGCAGACCCAGAGGCTCCTGGCGGCAAAGCCTATATGATGATATCAAGGCTGTTGACGTGATCCTTACCTGGCTGCAGGTCAAATCAAAAGCTGGGATCCATCAACAGTGGACGTCTTTCATTTCAGTTCTATGCTCCTCAATGGAGCAGGATATATAACAGAAGACTCGTATAACAAAATTCTCTTTTTTCGTGTTTCTGTGCCTGTGTATGCTCCCTTTATTACTCAGCCTTGCAAAACACAGGTTCTGTTTAAAGTATCTTCACCAATGTGGTGATAGGACACCATCTCCATAGCGGTCTAGAATGAGGAAGAACTACTACTCCAGCAGTTCCATATTCTGGAGAGCCGTTGAATACATTATCACTTTGACATATAATTATAAATACCTTGGAATGATCCTTTCCTTCTTTTCTGTTCTAGGTTCCCCGTTTTCTGCACTGCTGACTATGATCTGTGGGTGGTGGTCAAACATGCACTGAAAGAACTAAGTCCTCTTCAAGCTGGTTCCCTTTCATTTGGGCTTCTAAGCTTAAAGCAATGGTAGGTATATCTGTCTGGAATGTTTTTTTAAGTCAGGATGCACCGATACCGGTTTGTCGGTATTGAGTATGAATAAAGATTTTTTTTAATTTTTTTTTTTTTTTCCTGTACTCACTGATACCGAATATTTATCCCGGAAGTCCCATTAAGGAAGCCGGACGGCGTGTTATGACTCACCGCCTGGCTTCCTGATTAGCCGGGAAGCCATCTCTATGCTCCCTCGTCACCAGGTGACAAGGGAGCATGTAGCCGGCTTTCTTGCCAATCAGGAAGCCACGACGCAGGTAATGACTCGCTGCCTGGCTTCCTGATTGGCCAGCTTCCTGACCAATCAGGTAGCCGGGCAGCGAGTCATTACACGGGGCCCGGCTTCCTGGTTGGCCTGGAAACCGGGTCCATGTTCCCTCGTTACCAGGTGACGAGGAGCATGGAGCCCGCTTTCTGGCAAGTCAAGGAAGCTGGGAGGCTGGTAATGACTCGCCGCCCGACTTCCTGATTGGCCAGCTTCCTGACCAATCAGGAAACATTGTTGCCCTGATGAAGGGTCCCTGCGTGGTCCCAAAACGTTGGTTATAATTATTGCAACATGTAATAGTGCTGGTGATTCCTGTTCATTTTCTGATTGATATGCACGGCACCATCCGTGAGTATCGCTGCAAGCACCATTATTGTGATTCGGGCCGGAGACACTGAGGAGTGCAGGTGGACACATTGGACTTCAATCAAGAAACTGGGAGATTAATAATTACACGCTGCCCGGCTTTCTGATTGGCCATAGAGCCAGCTTCCCGGCCAATCCGGAAGCGGGGGGGCGAGCCATTACCCGCCACCGGCTTCCTTTTTGGCCGGAAAGCCAGCTCCATGCTCCCTGGTGACGAGGAAGCATGGCACCAGCTTCCTGATACCGTAAGTTCTGGTATCAGAATAGACATCGGGAGCATTTGGGCAGGTACGAGTGCTCGTCCAAATACTCGGTATCGGTGCATCCCTAATTTGAAGGATGGTCACCTTATTTACATTGTCTTATGTTAATGCACTGTATTTCTTTTGGATGAATTTTGAAGAGTTTTCACAGAAGCCTGGTAGAATGCTATAGGTTTCTAAGAAGAACCAAAATATACCTTGGAATATACATTTCACAACTCCCAATGGAAAATCAATTTGAATAAGGGTGTAGCCTGTAAGGTCACTTTGCTGTAATGGTGTCAATGACTTACTTAAAGGATACCAGTTTATTCATCTCCAGAAAGTGCATTTTAGTCCAGGAGCGGCTTCCTCCAAAGCAAAAGGAGTTTTAGAACAAACCATGGAAAGCTGCACAGAGTTTAGTTATCCTTTAAAATGGTGTTGCCATTGCCAAAGTTCACTTGCAGTGTTGTATAACTCCTAGTATGTCTTATTCTCACTCAGTGTTTTCTCTTTTCAGTCCGCAGGATGTCCGTCTGCAGTCTCTCTGTGTACTACTACACCCACTCGATTGCATACTGAGAGCTTCAGAGGACAGCTTTGGACAAACAGGTATTTTGCGGTTCGTGGCTAGAGATACTATAGACGTAGACCACTCTTTAGAGGCACAGGTTTGGTCAAGTTCCTGCACCCACGATGTACTTTACATTGCTGTCCCTATTAAGAACCATCCTTTTCCAACCTTAGGTCAATGCGTAGCTGAGCAGCTGCCGGGTCATATTCTTTACGCTAGCTTGGACCACTTACTGAACAGAGTTATAAAGGCGAGGTACCATAGGATACCCATAGACACAACATACAAATCACCCAATCCTGATGAAAACAAGCTCATGTCATGTGGTCCAGAATATGTCTGGTGGGAAATGATTGGATAAGCTAGAAGACTTGTTCCAATAACTGTTTTACCCCTCATTACAGTGTGAATGAGGGCTTACCAGGCCCGAATGCCTCTAGTCAGAGTTGGAGGCTCTTTCCCACCCAATATCTGTCCGAGCCTCCTGATTCCAGGTCCCATTTTAGGACTGCCATCCCTGGGAAGACGCAAAGCCGTTTCCCTTCTAAAAAATCACCCTGGAACCCCTCACTGTGGTTTGGTAAGAACTTCAGACAAAACCCAGTTCTTTTTCTTTTTTAATCCCTTTAAAAGGGACCATAATCTAAACGTTGGGCAAAGATACCGGCCGTCCAGGATCCTTCCTGGCGTCCTGCATAGGCCATAGATGTGCTTTTGTCACCATGAAACTAATTAACATGGAGAAATGTTCATTCTGTGTAGCACCTGTATATGATTCCCCTGAAAGACGAAAGCAGTGCAACACCATCAACACCAAGTCTTTTCACTTGGAGGAGGAAGGGTCTGCAATGTCACATGGAGGTTTTCTTACAAACTGGAATGTCTCATGATTGGCCATAGAGCCAGCTTCCCGGCCAATCGGGAGGGGGGGGGGCGAGCCATTACCCGCCACTGGCTTCCTTTTTGGCCGGAAAGCCAGCTCCATGCTCCCTGGTGACGAGGAAGCATGGCACCAGCTTCCTGATACCGTAAGTTCTGGTATCAGAATAGACATCGGGAGCATTTGGGCAGGTACGAGTGCTCGTCCAAATACTCGGTATCGGTGCATCCCTAATTTGAAGGATGGTCACCTTATTTACATTGTCTTATGTTAATGCACTGTATTTCTTTTGGATGAATTTTGAAGAGTTTTCACAGAAGCCTGGTAGAATGCTATAGGTTTCTAAGAAGAACCAAAATATACCTTGGAATATACATTTCACAACTCCCAATGGAAAATCAATTTGAATAAGGGTGTAGCCTGTAAGGTCACTTTGCTGTAATGGTGTCAATGACTTACTTAAAGGATACCAGTTTATTCATCTCCAGAAAGTGCATTTTAGTCCAGGAGCGGCTTCCTCCAAAGCAAAAGGAGTTTTAGAACAAACCATGGAAAGCTGCACAGAGTTTAGTTATCCTTTAAAATGGTGTTGCCATTGCCAAAGTTCACTTGCAGTGTTGTATAACTCCTAGTATGTCTTATTCTCACTCAGTGTTTTCTCTTTTCAGTCCGCAGGATGTCCGTCTGCAGTCTCTCTGTGTACTACTACACCCACTCGATTGCATACTGAGAGCTTCAGAGGACAGCTTTGGACAAACAGGTATTTTGCGGTTCGTGGCTAGAGATACTATAGACGTAGACCACTCTTTAGAGGCACAGGTTTGGTCAAGTTCCTGCACCCACGATGTACTTTACATTGCTGTCCCTATTAAGAACCATCCTTTTCCAACCTTAGGTCAATGCGTAGCTGAGCAGCTGCCGGGTCATATTCTTTACGCTAGCTTGGACCACTTACTGAACAGAGTTATAAAGGCGAGGTACCATAGGATACCCATAGACACAACATACAAATCACCCAATCCTGATGAAAACAAGCTCATGTCATGTGGTCCAGAATATGTCTGGTGGGAAATGATTGGATAAGCTAGAAGACTTGTTCCAATAACTGTTTTACCCCTCATTACAGTGTGAATGAGGGCTTACCAGGCCCGAATGCCTCTAGTCAGAGTTGGAGGCTCTTTCCCACCCAATATCTGTCCGAGCCTCCTGATTCCAGGTCCCATTTTAGGACTGCCATCCCTGGGAAGACGCAAAGCCGTTTCCCTTCTAAAAAATCACCCTGGAACCCCTCACTGTGGTTTGGTAAGAACTTCAGACAAAACCCAGTTCTTTTTCTTTTTTAATCCCTTTAAAAGGGACCATAATCTAAACGTTGGGCAAAGATACCGGCCGTCCAGGATCCTTCCTGGCGTCCTGCATAGGCCATAGATGTGCTTTTGTCACCATGAAACTAATTAACATGGAGAAATGTTCATTCTGTGTAGCACCTGTATATGATTCCCCTGAAAGACGAAAGCAGTGCAACACCATCAACACCAAGTCTTTTCACTTGGAGGAGGAAGGGTCTGCAATGTCACATGGAGGTTTTCTTACAAACTGGAATGTCTCGAGTACACAAAAGTCTGATATGGAAAGAGCTTGTTTTGACCTGTTAGGAATACATGGCCCTGTCGTCATCTCGAAAAGCAACTGTTTGTGTGTTCATTGGTTTTGTAGGTCTTCTTGATAAACCTGTGTGTGATCCAGTCATTGCAGAGAGCCTCCTGTCTAGGAAGACTTCATGTACTGGACTGTTGTGTCAGTGTCTGAGCCATATAACAGATCTGTGCGACAAGGTATGTTTTACATTACAGCGCACCCTGCATTATATGTAGTATGCTCTCTAATATAGAGACTGACTCTCTAATATAATAATATTGTCTCTTATTAGGACAATTTCCCGGCACAGATCCCCCATGACTCTGTCCTGCATTCCGTTATGTTAGTGCTGAAATTCTGCATTGGTCAATCAGTGTGTACATCCCCTGCAGGGTCCCACTTCAGCAGGTTCCTTATTGGCTGTCTTCGAGTGCAAAGGTCGGCGCTGGATGCCATCGCAGCTCTTTCAGCTTGGCCATGTGAGATAAATTTTGCACAGTTGTTCTAATCTATACCAATGCACGGATTACACATTGTCGGATTTCTATGATGCTGGGTGGGGTTATAGTGTATGTAAAGTACATTTCTGTGTTTAGTTTTGAATAGAGTAGGAAAGGGTTAGGCCCCTTGCCAGTTTTTTCTTTTATTGCCATCTGTCTACCCGAAGGGGAAATACACTTTTTCACCTTTATTCGTTCTGGTGACCACACTCACCTTGACAGATAAATAATGTCAGTTCCAAAAATGTCATGTTGCAATCCTCCAATGGGTACACCTGTTTATGTGACCACTCACATCCATGGTTGCCATCCATTTTTTTCCCACAGATCTCTTCATATTTTCTGGACACGAAGTGAAGGGAACTATCTCTGGCTGTACTCAAACAGCAAAGAATAATGTAACTGGGTTTCATCCCTTCCCTATTCTATTTAAAGTGTAACTGAGATTTAAAAAAAAGCATCTTATGGGTGATCAGTGTACATTGCAAGGATTTTAACAAACTTTGTCGCAGATTCCCACATTTTCTGTTCTGTAGAAAAACCTGTTTTGTTTCATCATGTCCTTTCCAGACTGATTCCTGAATGGGAGGGTCTGGGTTCATTATAACCACCTGGTGCACTCTCAATATTCTAACGAGGAAGGTTGCAGTATCTGCATCCCTTTTTGGAAGTATTAAGGATTAACTAAGTATCTCAACAAAAAATGAGAAGTTGTAGAAGATGCCTAAAATTTTACTTGTATCTTTGTGCACACTTCAGGGAAAACCTGTGAGCCAATCACAGAAGCAAGAAATTACATTTCTGTGGGTATTCTATACACCGGTGTTGTATAGAACGACTCCAGGTTGCTACATTGCATTGCATTTATTAACCGTTTCCACAAATTACAGCAGCTTCAATTAAAATAGGCTTTTGTAGCAATTTTAATGCTACATTTAATACTATTTTTAACGCTAGATAATTTAATGAAAGTGGAGTTTTCCTTTTCCTTTACATACATTTACATTTTGGCTTTGCATACATTTTAATTCTTGCACGACAACCTGGCAATTGTAAGGTAGTATATTAGCATTGTCAGCCTGCAACAGGAAGTGCTGATATTGGCAGGATTTCCTGGTAAGAAACATTGAAGCTGGTTCACAAAAAATGACTTGCTTAGGAAAACTGTAAACAGTGAGGCATAATGTCAAACGTATAGATCTTGGGTTTACATACACTGTAAATCTCCCTGAGAATATAATATTTGTATCTGCATTGTAGTGAAGCGGGACAGTTTGGAGAAGACATACAAAGTGCTCACTGCTTATTTGGAGAACCCAGAAACAGACCCAACGGTAAGAGTCACCTATTGTCCTCCTGTTTTACATAGTAACATACATATGTGCTGGACTGTGTTCCAATGGCATTATCTTTTTAAATTTTTAATCATTGGATAGTCTCCCCAGACATGTCTCTGCTTGTTCTCTGTCTAGGTTCTGAAAAAGGCTTACCAGGCCTCACTGAAATGGCTTCAGACCTCTCAAACCTCTGCTGAGCACCGAGAAGAAAGCCACTGTTTTCTCCAAGGTTGGAAACTATTACATAAATATTCTTTATTGTCTCATTTATGCTTCTCGTGTAAACATAAGGTCGTTCCAATCAGGAAGCCGGGCGGTGAGTTATGACGTGTCCACGGCTTCCTGATTGGGTAGGAAGCCGGCTTCGCTTGTTGCTAGACAGCCTGGCTTCCTAACCAAGCAGGACGCCGAGAGGCGGGTCATGACGTGCCACCCAACTTACTGTTCAGGAAGCCATGCAGCCTCGGTAAGTGAAGCCTGTGTTCTTTCGCTAGAACACCGGCTTCCAAGGCAATCAGGAAGCCGAGCGTCAGGTCATGATCTGCCGCCCGACTTCCTGATAATCGGTATCGGCGAGTACCGAAAAAAAAAAATATTGGTACTCAATACTGAAAAACCGGTATCGGTGCATCCCTAATTATAACCAAGTGGTCAGGAAGGTCCAAGACCCATGATTTATGTATCTGGCTTGGTTTAATCTTGGCAGAGTTTTCCACAAGTTCTATGCTAGAGTTTGCACCAGAAGACCTCCAGTGTTTGCCAGGCATGCTTCACAGGGAAAGAATAGCATGCAAAGGTATCATCATAGTCGTGGATGCTTTAAATCCGCTCCTGCCTGGATAGTTAAGTTTGTGATCAAGCAGTGGAGCTCTGTGAAGTGCGCCATCGAATACCTGTGTGTGCTGGCATTTAATATATGTTAGTGCTGTTCTAAAAACTATCTTCATATTATGTATTTTGGATCACAAGATATCACAATATGTATCACATCAGTTCCTATAGTAATTATAAGTAAACAATAAGTAGTTTGCTGCTACCTGCTGCTGATATTGTCAGTACCTGGTTGCTGGTATTTCCTACAAATTGCCATGATAGGGCGACCATAAATCATCCTCGTATTGCATTCGTATCCGGTTTTCACCTGGCGTAAGGTTTTTGTATTGGTATAATACAAATGATCCCTCTTCTCATGTTGTATTATTATACTTCTTATGCTGGCTCATATCACCATACATCTAGAAGTTCTGTATCTAATTATACACTGTATGATTTTGGTTTTTCATACACTTAATCAAATTACTATAATGTACAATATTTCAATATTTATATTGTGATGAACAAACTGTTTTGTAAATCAGAGTATTTCATTATACAAACAA